GTGCAGGGGTGGTGAGAAGATCACCAGAGTCACAGTGGGGAGCAGAACAGGCCAACTGACGAAGTCCACTGCTGAGAGGAGCAGCGGGCGGGTCAGGAGAGGTCTGCTGTGCCATGTGGGTCACCTCCGGGACAGGCAGGTTTCGAAATCTCACTGCAGTAGTTGCTGCCAGCTTGCAGTGCTGCGTCCTAACCCGTTGCACCACCAGGAAGGACCTGGGTTTGCCTTTTTCAGGGACTCTCACATCACGGGTTGTGGTAGCTCAGGCGGGCGCCCCCACTCACGCTTTGTAAGTCCTAAAGTTGAGGCACAAAGAGGTGCAGAGGGACTGTGTGGTGACCCTGGGCTTGCCCTGTTCCAGGTCCGCTAAGGACGGTGTGGCTAGAACATAAAGCCAGAGTCAATAGGGCCCAGATCAGGTGGGGCTGAGAAGCCAGGGCAGGCAGTGTGGACTGGCTTCTAAACTCAGTGAGAATAACCACGGAAGGGTTTTCTGCAGCAAGAAACAAACAATAAAAACCCTCTGATATTTACACGGTGTGTGTGTACATACAAATAAGTGCATGTGTGTATGTGTTCGTGAACACATCCTAGGCATGAAGTGTGCATGTATGTGAATGCTTCTGTGTGTGCATGGACTTGTGGGTCCACGTGTCTCCCCAGTGTTCACGTGTCCCAGGGAGCATACCTCTCTGACACCCGTCAGTGCATCTCTCTCCTTTCTTGGACAGATTCTCAAACTTTGCCCGAAGAAGAAGAGCTCCTCCACCTACACGTTCTGCAAATCGGTCGGCCTCCTGGGCATGCAGTTCCACCTCTTTGAGAACGAATGTAAGTGCCCGTCAGCCCAGGGGGGTGGCAGAGGGCAGTGGGGGCGAAGTGAGGGAGACCGTGGCTTGGAGGGAGCGGGCAAAGTCGGTGCCCCAAAAGCCGGGTCCATGCTCCCTGTTGGGTGGGCTGCAGTTTCACCTCTGCCGTTCACCATCCTGGCGTGGGGGTTCGCAGATTATTCTCATGGCATCACCCTGGTGACCCCGCTCTCGGGCTCTGAGAAGAAGCAAGTGCTGCATTTCTGCGCCCTCGGCTCAGATGAGATGCAGAAGTTCGTGGAGGACCTGAAGGAGTCCATCGCCGAGGTGACAGAGCTGGAGCAGATCCGGATAGAGTGTAAGGACGCGGGCACAGGAGCTCTCTGAGGTGGTGGGCAGCGTGGGCAGGTTCTGGCCAGCAGGGACAGGGTGGCCCGTGGGCGCACCTCACCGTGTCTCTTTGCCGGCTTTGGAGTGAGTGCGGGCTGGGTCACAGAGCTCGTGCTATGCAAACCTCCCCTCCTCCAGCCTCCTTGCCCCACCTCCACCCCGCATGGGTGCCCTGGTCTCCACCATTAAAGTGAGGTACACTGGCGTGCACAAGCGTGACCAGGTGTGGGGCTGCAGGAAAAGCCCCTCAGAACAGAGGACTCTGCTGTGTTTGACACAAACGACCAATCGGGCAAACCAGAGGCCTCGGGGCGAGGGCGCCTCCTTCTCGCCACTGTCTTTCATGCAGGCAAGGGTCACCTGGTACATCTGGCTGTTTTTTTTAAATTTCTTTTAATCTAGAAGAGTAGATTAAATTTCAGTTTTTTATAACCTGGTCTTTTTGAAGAGTCCAGGCCCCTTCACCTTGGAGCCTTGGCTCTTGACGGTGCTAGTTCAGGCATTTCAGAAAACAGCCGAGCTTCGGCGAATGTCCAGGTATGTCCAGGCAGTTTACAGGTGGTTTATTGGTTGTTCTTTGGTATAAGAAAAGAGCAGGGATGGTCCGAAGGTTTCACTGTCTAAGTATTGCAGTAGCTTACGATAGCTCTTAAATGAAAAAATTAAAAATGTGTTCAGAAACTAAACCGGAAAATAAATACGGGCATCAGATCAGCCTCCTGTGGTCACTTAGCTGAAAGGTATTTCTAAATTAATGCAAACCGCTAGGCCACAGGAAAGGCAGCCGAGTTTTGAACTGGGCACATAGGACTGCATTTGATCATCTTTTTTGGAATGCCAACCCGATCCAGGACAGTTTCTTTCTATTCCAGTAACCCTCACAGTGACCCTGTGAGATGCACTGTCCCATTTTATAGACGAGACTCAGAGAAATTAAGGGAAGTCACACGGGGGCCCTGGCGTCTGCGTTTCCGTCTGATTCTGGCCCTGCCACCCCGAGAGGGAATGGGTTCTGTAATTTCCCAGAACAACAACTAAATTGGGGGCTGTTAAGCACACCCTCTCTCTGCACTCTGCTGACACACTTGAGCTCAGAGGTACAACATAAAGACTGTTCTCAAGGGCTGGCGGGAAGCTCAAAGAAGCCACCTCAGCGGTTTACCTTGACCTTGACCTTGATTCTTAAGGACACAGCCTGAAATGGCTTCACTTCTCTCATTGTCAAAATGTCACAGATGGCTCCACACAGCCCCGGGGAGCCGTGGCGCAAGACTGGCACCAGCATTGTTAGAGGAGGCACGTCTCCCTCCTCAGCCCTGGGAAAGGCACCTCACACCCTGCCCAAGGACAGAGGATTAGACGCTGCCAGAATCTATGTCAAGAGCTCAGTGCAGCTGGGGGTGGGGGCTGGAGCAGGGGAGAAGCAGAGAGAAAGTCTCACCTTTGGCTCTTATTCTTCTGATGGAAAGAGAGGGAAGGAACAGCTGGGAACAGTGCAGGGTCAGGCTGGGAAAGAAAGGGAGACAGAAAAAAGAAACTTCCATTTGCGGAGTACTCACATGCCTGGCACCTGTATTATTTAAATCTGGCAACAACTTTCCATGAAGTGAGTATATCACCCTTACTCTGCCTATAAGGGTTCGGGGTTCCCCAGAGCTTAAGGAAGTGGCCCAGGTTCACACAGGCAGTGACAAAACGAGATTTTCACCCGGTTCCTTGACTCTGAGCTTGTAATTACAAGGCTAATTTCTCCAGAACCCAGAGATCCCGTCAGGGGAGAGGAACAACTCTCAGCTCAGTTTTTTTAAAAATGTAGTATTGCTTGATGGGGTGATTCAGACTGTGAGGACAAGTTGTTCTGTTTTGGGGGTTTGCAGTCCAGCATCCCCAGATTACCGACAACCAGAGAGGCAGAAAGTGGCTCCCAGGAGAGCCGCTGTAATAAAAGGAACTGAGTTATGTCTGAAAAAGACAGGCTGAGGAGTGATTTAATAATGACTGTCAGATCTCCAAGGTAGCAGCTGGCTGCTCCCCAGAACCCCGAGACAAGAACAAGAAGACCCAAGCAGACAGTCAGGAAAGGAGGTGCTGGTTGAACAGAGCCAGGTCCTGGCCGGCGGGCTGTGTGGTGCTGATATCCGAGGGGATGCAGGTCTCTGCCACAGAAAACCATGTGGCCACTCACTCAGCCAGCCAGTGGGCTCAGGCCCGGGCACTGTGGGCATTAGCTGGGCTGGCTGATGTCACCAAGGTGAGCTGTGCCAGGGCGTCTCACACCTTATCACCTAAGCTGTGTTTGTTGAGCACTAGCACAAACCAGACCTATCGTCAGTGAAGTCTTATGTTTCCTCATGAAATCCTCATGGTGACGCGTGGAGGCCCTGCTGTCCACTAAAGGGAGGCCTGGAGGCTTGACAGGCTGTAAGTTCCCTAAGGTCATACAGGTGGGCATGAGCAGAACAGGGATTTGAGCTCCCTCCTCTTAGCCTCTCACCTGCCTCTCCCCCTTGAAGCAGGTGTGACCATCGCTACCGACAGATGAGGAAACTGAGGCCTAGTGGGTGTCACTTGCCACGAGGTGGGCTTGCAGACTCCAGAGTCCATGCTTTGCAGCATGTACCAGGAAGCCTGTCTCCTCCTCTTCGTGTGCTTCCCTTCACTGCTGGTCTTGTCTCTGTGTGAGGGATTAGAGTTTCTCCCTGTTCACGGGCCTCTCCTTCCTTAGGGGAGCTGGAGAAGCAGCAGGCAGTAAAGACGCTCTCCTTCAAGTCCAGTGGAGCCCAGGGGGACCCACAGTCAAAGCAGGGATCGCCGACAGGTGAGCTGGGCTTTGCTCCCCAGTTCCAGACCCCAGGCCCCCCATGGAGGGGACCCACCCTGTCAGGGGGTGGGTGGGTGTTTCTGGAGAATTTGGGTGCACGCATGGCTCTTATCACAGCCCTTTCTGCAGAGGGCTCCAGGCTTCATCTCCTGGGGCCAGAGGGAGGAAGGTGAAGGAGTAATGTGCTAATGTACAAATTACACTTAAGCACCAGGTCTCTTAAATCAGGCCAAGTCCCGAGCCCCGGGGACTGATTAGAGACAGGTTGTGAGAAAAATGGCTATGTCTGTGGGGAGGGGTCTCCGGGGAAAATGGGGGGGGGTGATCAGAAGGGTTGGAAGTCTTGATTTACCCTATAAAGTCCTTTCCCTAGTGAGCACCTTCTAATCGCAGGTCCAGAATCAGTCTACCCCCAACATCCAGATAAACCCTCAAGTCCAGTTTCTGCAATGGCTTCTGCAAATTGAATTATTCGCCCCAGACAAGTCAAATCAGCTTCAGATTTTGTGCCAGCTTAGTCCTGCTTCCTTCCACCCATGGGCATCCTCCTCCCCTTCTGTTTACCTCTTGCCCTTCCACACCACACCCTCACTGCATCTCCACTGCCCCTGTCCCATGGGTGGGACCTGGTGGCATGAGAATGAGACCCCATCCCAGCAACACCCAGCGAACCACGCACAACCGCTCGCTCTTCATTCTTAAAGTCTTACATTTGACCAGCACCGATCGAGCACCGGCTGTGTGCCCTGTGCTGAACACTGGAAAACAGGACATTAGCTTGAGCTTAGAAACTGTTGGGCCCTGACCCTCAGCAGCCGGCCGAGACTTTGGACAGACAGCCTCCCAGGACGGTCGCATCAGTGGGCGACGCCATCCATTACCTCATGGAGAGCCTCACTGTGATGTCACCTCCTGCACGCCATGACGCATTCATGGTTTCCAGCCGCCCCTTCATTTCTCTCTCGCCCTCGTGCATGGGTCATTGCCTGTTTTCACAGCTGCTCACACTCCAGAGCTAAACCTCTGCATGGCCCCACTCTCTGCTTCCCAAGCCGCCTCCTTTGGCAGCGGCTGCATGTCCCCAGGGCCTTGTCTATCCGGTGTCTCCACCCTGCAGGGCTCTTTGGTCCCAGACAATAGCACAGCAGAGGGATGAGCATTGCCAGGGAACTGGCCCCCCCACCCCCACCCCCCAAGGGCTCTGAGAAATCAGACGACTCCAGCAGAGGGGCCCAGGTGGTGCCTGCTGGTGAAGTAGGAGCTGCGGGGTTGGGGGTGCCTGAGTCAGAGAAAGTCATTAAACTGTTGGGGTCCGCAGGGTCCTGGCGCTGTGCCAGCCCAGCTAGAAAGCCCCGGTGGCAGCTCCCGAGCCATCATCCGCTCTTACGTGTGCCAGGCCGGGCGGTGAGCGCTGGACGCAGGGCTCAGCACACAGTCTGCATCCATCAGCCAAAGCGGCAGGTGCAGGAGCACAAAAGGGCCATAGCCCCTCCTTTAAGCGGCCTGTGGCTGAAGGTGACAAATTGACATGGTGGCTTTAAACACGGTGTGTCTGGGAGCCAAGAACCAGTGCCGCCCCCACTGCGCATATCGGGAAGCTTTGACTATGGCGAACTGGGTCTCAGCAGTGCCAGAAAGAACGGCAGAGACCTTCTAGTCTGCAGAAGCCCAGAGAGGGATAGCACTTTGCCCCGAGGTCACACAGCACAGCGGCAAGGGGGCAGCACTGGCCGACTTGCTGCTGGCTGTTCCCAGCTGTCTCTCGCGTCTCGGACCACTGCCCCGGAGACTTTGTCCACACAATTAGCTGCAGAGCTGCTGGGTCTGGGGGAGGAGGGAAGCGGATACGCAGGGATTATGTTGAGATGGGCAGAGAATGAGCCCTGTGCTCTTTGCATTCAAAGCCAAAAGGGATGCTGTGCTGGGGGAGAGGCCGGAGGAGAGCTCGGTGGAGGTAAGTGGAGACCTGGCCGCCCAGGTGAGTGACTCTGTGGCCCCACTTGTCCTACTTCTCACCGTTTCTGTTGTTTCTCTTCTCAGGTATTAATCAATGCCTCCCCAGCCCGACTCACCATTTTACCAATTTCAAGAGATACAATTAAAAGTTACTGCTAGCATGGGGATGCCACTGTTGCAGCGCCCAGTTAAGCCACAGCACTCCCCACTCCCCACCCTGCCCGGCCTGCCCCAGCCGCCCAGCTCCCACACTGACCCCGCAGATCTGAAGCCCGTGACCCGGCCCACCCGGCGCCAGCCCACTCCCCCAGCACCCGCTCACGGCCTAATGCGCGCAGTATCAGAGCCCCCACCCCGACACCCCTTCCCCAAGTCCTCCCGTTCTGCGTCTCACCCCTTAAGTCAAGTCCCCAGATGGTCACTTTGGGGGCAGACCCTGTCCTCCCGGAGAAGCTGGAGGTTGAGAATGGGGACAGCTGGGAGGGGAGCTTCTCCCGGACGCACTGGCCCACCGGCGGGCCATGGGGTAGGGTGCGCGGCAGACGGCGAGCAGAAGCTGTGTCGGGGTTGCCTTCTGTGGCCAGGCCTGTTGCATCTGAAGTAGTCTGTGCAGGTTGGAGGGCCGGAGAAACCACCCCCGAGCCACATGGGAAGGGGCTGGAGAAGCTGGCCGGCTCCATGCCCCAAAGGGTCACCTGAGGGGAGGCGTGCAGGGGCTCCTGCAAGCCCTGCTGAGCCCCAGCCCTCCCTACCAGCCCCCTTTGCCTGCCCACCAGCACCCCACAGGCCTCTGCCAGGCCTCCAGGGTCCACCAGGTGCTCCACAGTCACCTCCTTCCCCGTACCCGCTCGGAGCCTGAGGAGCCCCACCGAGAGGTCTAGGGGAGGAGCCCTGCCACGAGCCCTGCCACGAGCCTGACTAAGCTCTGGGAAGCCCCAGGACACCCGGGGAACCCAGCTCCTTGTCTCCCCATGGCCCCCCAGCCCCCACACACCTGTGTCTGGAGGTGGCACCTTACACGGAGGAGCTTCCTGCCCCAGCAGCTGACCAGCCCCCAGGGTGGGTATTCCATCCCCTGCCCCCCTCTCTCCCCATCTCCCTGCAGCCACCATTCTCTAGCCTTGCAGATAAACACAGGCCGTTCCCAGCCCTCCGGCCTTTCCTGCCAGCTCTGCCGCGCCTGACCTGCCTAGGGAGGACCCGCACTCATGGCCTGCCCAGGCTGTGCGGCTGTCTGCAAGGCTGCCGCCCTCGGCTAGCCCTGCAGCCTCTGCTCCCCCACAGGGGGCAGCCTCGCGCCCCTGGCCTCTCAGCTGGACCCCGGCTCTCTCCACCCTCTGTCCATCACTGCCTGGCCGAGACCCTCTGGCAGGCGCTTCTCCATCCTCTCTGAGCTGTTCTGACTGGCTACTCATGTTCCATGCTCCTCTCTCTCCCTACTGCTTCCTTCTTTCCTTCATCCGCAGGGAATGAGAAGGGGTCAGAACGAGACCGTAGTTCGCTGTCACTTCCTGTCTGTCACTCATTGATCATTGACGATAAAGGATCCGGGCTGGGTGGGGAGGAGGGGGTCAGAAATCTAGGGGGTCGGGGTGAAGAGGGGCTGCAGGAAGGGGAGCCTCAAGCTGTACCGGGCAGCTGGGGAGGAGGAGAAAGTGGGGTCCATGGGTGTGGTCAGGGCCACCAGGCATCGGGGGAGCAGCCGAAGCCACACAGCTGCCGGCTGTCTCAGGCCACCGATGTCCCCAGGGCGTGGCCAGAGTCCAGCTGGGGAGAGGCAGAGAGGGCAGAGGCCTTCTTCCCGAAGGAGGGCCTTTGCGGGGGGACCCCAGCATGCTCCCCACTTGCCTGTGCAGGGCACTGAGAGGTTCAGGGCACCTTCATTTAATTCTGAGCATCTCAGACCTAGAAAGTGCTACTGGGGTTGCAGGTGAGAATGAAGGGCAAAGCCTGCCTTAGGCTGAACATGGCGGGGGCGGGGGGCTTCGTGAATGAAGGGCGGGCAGGCCGGGGTGAGGAGAGTCCCCACAGGGCCGGCACAGAGCCAAGAAAAGGGGTCCTGAAATTGCACCACTTGCCAGTAAACAAGACTGGGGTCTGCTGGTTTAGGGCTTCAGTTAGTTTTGGATTGGGCCATCCTGGTCTGCGTCTGGAGACTAGATCCCCTCCGCTACGGCCTCAGTTTCCCCCCTGTGATTGCAGCAGCCAGTCCTGGTGGTGGAACCCAGGGCTGTGAGAAGCACCCGCAGGCGCAAAATGATGTAAAAATAAACTATTATATCAATGAAAGGGGCTCAGCCTTCCCCCAAGAACCCAGGGTTTGAGTAGATCTCAGCCACATAGCTGAGAGCCTGTGGGTGCGGTGAGGATTACATCCCTCTCCTTCCAGAATCCTCTAGCCTCCCACCTGTCCATTCTTCCTTCCCCTGTTAGCAAGAGTGGACCAGGGCCTCCATGGGCTGAGGGAGAGCCTCCCTCCTCACGCCTGCCCAGAGGGTAAAGATGAGACTCTCTCGGGACACCCCTGCCTGCAAGGGAACAAACTTAACCAGGATGTAAGCTGGACCCGAAAGGCCAGTGGGGGCCCAAGTCTGACCTTGGCCCAAACTGCTCTTAAATAATGCATGACCTGATCTCGGGGAGTCTGAGCGATGGCGTTCGGGCGACCCCTTCAGGAGTCCCTGAAGGCATTTTGGGATTTGGGCCCGTTTTCGATTCCGCAGTGATGAGCCTTTGGACAGGCTTTGGGAGGAGAGTGGCCATTTCTAGTCCGTTTGTCCCTTGGGGGCAGGGAGGGGTAGGGACTGTTTGTTCATCTTGCTTTTCAAATTTGAGGTCGGTGGAGAGGGAGGTGGGAAGAAGCGCACCCCTGACCCAGAGCCCCTCCAGCAGATCCATGAATTCAGCCTGCCCAGCCTCGGGGAGATCTGAGTCCCTGGGCCCAGCCCTTCTCACAGATGAGGAGACTGAGGCTGCTCAGGGCCCATGGAGGCTCTGGACACCTCTGCTGGCAGCCAGTTTCCTGGGCGGAGAGGTGGGAAGAGCACCGAGTGCCCAAGCCAGGGCTGAGAGTGGGGAGGGAGGCACAGGGGGCCAGTCCTAGCAGCTGGGAATTAGTCTTGTAACATTTCATGCTTCTCTGGCTGTTTCTAAACTAGGTGTCAATTCACAACAGGCTTCAAACGTCCCAGCACAGCCCGGGGCTGGGGCCCGAGAGGGGAGCGCCGGTGCCAGACCTGCAGCCTAGCCCCTTGCGAGAGCAGCCCCCGCCGAGGCCGCCACCGCCACCCACACCCCCGGGCACCCTGGTGCAGTGCCAGCAGATTGTCAAGGTCATTGTCCTGGACAAGCCCTGCTTGGCCCGCATGGAGCCCCTGCTGAGCCAGGCTCTGTCCTGCTACGCCTCCTCATCCTCCGGCTCCTGTGGCTCCACACCCCTGGGGGGCCCGGGCTCCCCCGCCAAGGTCACCCACCAGCCTCCGCTGCCCCCACCCCCGCCCCCCTACAACCACCCGCACCAGTTCTGCCCCCCGGGCTCCCTGCTGCACAGGCGCCGGTACTCCAGTGGCTCTCGGAGCCTGGTGTAGACTCTGCCGAGTGTTGCTGCCCCGGGGAGGGGGGGCTCTCGCTGCCAGGGGTCCCGGGCTGCCCAACAGCCCGACGGCCCCTTCGCTGCTCCCCGACCCCTGGCACGATTCATTCCTGGTCACCAATCACTGTTTTGGAGAGAACCCCAACCCTGAGACCGGGGTTTGCCTCACCCAGCCACACTGCTCCTTCTCCCAAATCTGGAGCCGCCTCACTGTCCGGGGTGCACAGCTAGACGCGGCCCAGTCCTCTACTGCTGCCACCACTGGGCCGTTGGACGATGGACTGAAGTGACCAGGCTGCCCGCCCCAGCACGGGCACCTCACTGTCTGGGTGAGGGTTGGCCCTGCGTCCCTGGAGGAACGGAAGAGGGGGGGCTTTCTCTATGGCTGCTGCTCCCCCTGAGCCCACGGGCTGCAGAGGCTGTGGCCCCACTGCAGGGGTGTGGGCTGTCTGACCGCCCCTCCCCACCGCCCGGCCTCCTGCTTTCTCGGGAGCTGGGGCCCAGCCTGCGCGGGCTGCCCGGACTCCAGGAAGGCGTCCAGAAAGGAAAGGGGACACGGGCACCCTTAGCTCTTAGACAGCAGGGCTGCGCCACAGTGACATCACCTATCTTCCAAATGCACCCGCAAAGAGCTTCTTCATTCCTAGTCCCCCAGTGACCCCAGCCAGCACCGAGGGTGCCGGGGGCGTAAACGTAAACACAGCTGCGACCAGGTTAACTTCTTCCATTGCGGCAGCAGCCCTGGGCACATCAGCAGCAGAGGTAGCATTTGGGCCGGGCAAAGGCTCTTTCTGCTTGCCCCGTGGTCTCCAGTGGGTGTAGAAGTGGGTGGGAGGCAGTGCTCAGAAGCTCCTGCATCCCCCACTGCTCCCCAAGCTAGCCCCTCTGCCTTTACAACCCCCCTCCAAGGCACCAGAACCCCTCTGTCAGGGGTGGCTAGGAGAGGCACTGCACCCTCAAAATTGCAATACGGAGCCAGCAGGGTTGGCTGGCCGCCCCAGGGCGAGTGGCACCAGGGCCCGGCTTCCTGCAGCCCCACACACTGGTAGAGCAGCAGGAGTCCTCGGGTGGTGCCATGGCCACCCACGCTGGCCCTTCCGGAGGTGTGGTCTAAGCCAGGCTGGACTCTCCAGTCCTGAGCCAGAAACTCATTGCTGTCCACTGTTAAGATCTCCTCCAATGTGGAGTCTGCTTTCAAAGCACCCAAAGAGATGAACAGCCCTTTGGCCAAGTCTACCGCGAGCTGGCTCCTTCGCCCTTCCCCAGTCCCAGCTGCAGCGCCCCGGGCTGCAGGGAGGCCCAGGCCCTGCCTGCTCTCAGAGGCCCGCCCACCTAGTTTCCCATGTCTGTGTGGTCACTAGGTGTCACCCAGCAGGTCCTCTGGTCTTGTCTGTCAGCCCCGTTTCCACACTCGGGAACAGTGTGCTGTCTTTACCCACCAAGGTCTGTGGTCTGCTCCCCCACCATGTTACCCGACCCCTCTCCTGCGTCTTTTCCATAATGGGGACCCCCGATTGTAGCTTTTCACAGTGGAGGGGCTGGCAGATGGGGTGCACTCATGTAGATGCCTGGAATATCCTTGGTCTCCGATGGAGAGGGGAGGCTGGGCGGCAGATGCCAGGAGCTTCAAGGGAAGTGGAGTTGTGGTGACGGGGGACCAAATCTTGAGTGAGGGGGCAGGGAAAGAATAGGTGTGTGGATGGGAGGTCGGGGGTATGAGCTCAAGGAATAGGAGCCAGGAGGTGCGGGGGCCATGAGGTCAGGGTGCTGTGGAAGAGGCGCTTCGGCCCCTCATCACCTGTTCCCATAGTGAACTGACCTCTGCTGAAGCCTTGACCTTCTTCATTGGGAGAGCAGAGTGTGTGGGTGCGTGCGTGGCTCTCCGAGACTGGCTGCTCAGATGTCTCTGCCCTTCCCCAGCCAGGGGCTCCCCGCCAGCCCCTTGCTGCCCTGGGCCCCAGTGGCAGTGCAGAAGACCCCCATCTTGGAAGCAGGTGGCCCTGTCAGTGCACAAAGCTGAGCTGTGAGGCTTCTAGGCCCCTGGCCCGGGGCGGGGTGCAGCTGGCCCTCTTCACCGTGGAGGAAGCTAGCGCCTGTCACCTCCTGCTCAATCAGCAACAGGCCATGGTTGGGACCCTGCTCTGTCCCCGTCCCCAGGGACCTGCAACCAGCCTTGTGACCCTGTGGCCTCAGCGACGTCAGGGCTGTGAGCCCTCTCAGAGGGCTGGAGAAGCCCTGAGGAGACTGTGCTGACAGTGGGGGTGCGCTGGGCCACCCCGCACAGCCTCCTGGGTGCAGACCCAAGTACCCCAAGATGGCGCCACGCATAACTCTCTAGGCCTTACACTGGGGAACTGGACCCCTCTCTCAATTGTCCATTGGGCCCCAACTCCAGAATTAGGAGTGGGAGGCGCAGTTAACTCTCCCACCCACTTTCGGGCAGTCCCACCTCCAGACCTGGGCCCAGAGCCTGCCCTGGCAGCTCCTCCTGGAGGCCCGCCTGCCTGTCTCCAAAGGCACACACGCACCCGAGCCCGAGTCCTGGACCCAGGTACCCTGACACCCCACCCCACCTGTTCCCTCCTAGCCTGCCAGAATGTCTCTTTGTGCCCAGTAAGCTTCCCTGGTAACCACCGTCCCTCTGTGCTGTGTTCTGCTGTACAGACCTTCTTGCTGTTCCCCACCCCCACCCACATCTGCCCCTTCACCCATTGGAGAGAAAACTCTCTAGGGAAAGGCAGGGTGGCTGCACCCAGCGACTAATCCAAATGGCAAATATTTTGTAACAAAATAGCCCAGAGGTATTTTATCTGTTCACTTCATAGAGTTTTAGAGATTATATTGAAATATGTCACTTGAACAAACAATGCTGTTTCTGCTTCTTTTGTTTGCTAAAGTGGGGGTGGTAACCTTAAATTGGAGCCTCTCACTGATCAGAGTTGAAGGATCAGAGTTGAGGGGTGGCCAGGAGGCCAGGCCCTCTGACCACAGTCGTGTCAGAGGGACGCCAGGACGCGGGGTCTTCTGACCACAGGAGTGTTGGGGACGCTGGGACACCAGGCCTCTGACCACAGTCATGTCGGGGTGACACTCCAGGCCTCTCCTGGGAAGCCCTTTCTTAAACAAATGAGGCTTAGATTCTGGGATACAGCTGACAGATGGGCATTGGGTCAGAGCTGGGGCTGCAGGACCCCAACACTACTGCAGGGTACAGGCACCCTGTAGCCAGAGGCGAGGGGGCTGCAAAGGAGACAGCTGGTTTTGAAGGCAGAAGCACCATTACTGCCCATGCGCGTCCTGGCAGAGTGAGGGGTGAGGGAGCTGCGTAAGACCCTGTCTGTCCTGCCTCACTTTCTGCAATGAAAAGTTGGGGTACAGTTAGGGGTTGGGGCCTCCCGCACATGTTTGATCACCAGCAGTAGGTGATTTTCACCAGACATCAGCTCCCAAAGCTTGACCTTCTCATTGTGGGATCTTGTTTGACAAGCCCTGGGATGTGCCTAGCTGAAGTGGTGGGGGGCGAGGGGAGAAAGGTTGAGGTGAAGGAGTGGGGAGGTATATGGAGTCAGAGTGCACAGAGCAAGCATTTCCGAGCACGGCACTTCCCGCCCCCCAACTCCCCCACTCAGTTGCACCACGTCCCCTGCCAAGTGCTGGAAGCGAAGCCAGAGGAAACTGCTGGAACAGACTGAACCAGAGGCTCGGGCAAGCGAGCACAGCCAGACCTGGTACACAGACAGGGTTTTCACAGACACAATTTCTCCCGGCCAAGCAAAGAGGAAAGAACCTTCTGGCAAAGCCACAGCTTCAGAGGCACCCTATAGTAGAACAGCTTGCTAGAATGGCTGATCTGGGGGGATCCCCGCAAGCAGGACAGGCAGTCCTCCTGACCACCCAGAAATCCAGAGATCGCCCTAACTGGCTCCCGTTCTGTCTTGTTAAAGTAAAAGGGAACATTAGCCTCATCCTCCATCCAGGAAGCAGGAAATTCCAGAAGCTTGGGGCCAGCTATGACCTGTTCCATCTGGGAATTCTCTGACCCAGAAAGCTGAGGCTCGGCCCCTAGGGAGCACCCCAGAGGGCTCCAGCTCAGCCCAGGGGTGGGAGAGGGCCTGGAGCCAAAAGGGGCCCCTGATGTCTGTGGGCAGGGGGCTGCCTCGCCTTTTCCAAGTCCACTTGGCCCGTGAGGTTATCTGTGGGCATCAGCCAGGTCTCCAGTCAGAGAGGGAACCGGGGCTGCCAGAGCCTCAGATGTAGCCGCACAGGGCAGCAGTCAGCCCTTCGGCCTTGCAGGGAAACGGAGAGATGTTTCTGGTGATGGGTCCCCGGACAGAGGGGCTTCTGGCTGAGAGCAATGAGCCAGAATCAGCCGCTGGTGCAAGGAGCCAGGAAGAATTCGGCCAGTTTAAAGTCACGCAGGTGCACCAGGTGCTGGCGGTGATGCCGTGCTGCAGAGTGACTGGGTCACACTTCTGCTCCCCAGGGTCATGCTGGGTGGGGGCATCAAAATAAACAGGGGACCCTTTTCACAAGTGGTGGGGCAGTAGAGGTGAAGATTTCAAGGAGAGGATTATTTTCAAGCAAACATTCATTCAAATAAACATTAGGAGGGAAACTCAGCAAAGGTGAGGTGAGCAATTTACCTGCGGGCAGGTGAGCTGTGTGCGGCTCCTCCGTGGGGTGGAGTGAGCACAGCTTTGGAGGCAGGAACGAAGCTAAAGGGCTGTTTCCTGGCATAGGAATTTACTTACTTGGAAGTTCTTAATAAATCTTTCTCGGGAGCATTTAAAAACCACCTTTAGAGGAAATAATAAAATCAGGCTTCTAGAAAATCCACAACAGATGGTCATCGTACCTGTGAGGAGGAGTAAGTAACTCAACTCAGGGAGCCGTGAAGTGGGGACTGCTGGGGGAGGGCCCGGGCACCGCTGCAGACCCAGGGGACAAGCAGCGGCCGCAGAAGAGCCTGACCCCATCGGAGGAGCTGCCCAGGGCCTGCAGGGAAGCTCTCCCCTCCTCACTACTACACGCCAAGTGGGCCCAGGCTTGTCATTTGAAGTAATAGCAGGATGGACTCCATGGCCCATTACCCACCCAGCACCCGGCTGACAACCTTTCACACCTCAGCATGAACCACATAAAACTGCACTAAGATTGATTTCTCCCTGGCAGGGCTGGCGACCCCTCTGGGCCTTGTCTCTCCTCGGTCCCCAGCCCCGACAGCCATGGCTAATTGATCAGGTGTCACCATCTATCAATGTAGGTTGACGCTCAGGATGAAATAACCTGGCACCAGCAGGCCTGGCCCCTCAGCGTCCTGTTGCGCCACCTTGACGCCAGGTACTTGGAGGGGAGGCCTAGGCGACAGGAGGCGGGTGAGGCAGGTTGTGGGCCGCCCGCCCCTCACACGCACTGTTACCGAGTCATGGAAATGGTTCTGGCACCGGCGCTTGCTTTTTTCATTTGCTCACCAGAGCTTTGCCCTGCAATGCTCCGGCAGTGATCCCAGGTACCCTGTCCACTCCCTGTCCATGGGCGCCCTTCCATGCTCCACTCACCCACCACCTGCCACTCCCTCTCCTCTGCCCCTCAGAGCAAACCAGTCAAGTCCCAGTGCAGCCCAGCTCACAGTGTGGGGAGCATGAGGGGAGCTCTCCAGCCCAGGACAAAGCAGGTACCGCGGCCCCAGCACTGGCCCCTAGTGGGACAGGTGTCCCCCAGAAGGTGAGCCCCGCTCAGGCCCAGTGGCCTGCAGGCTGAGTCCTTGCCGGCCCCCATTTCCCTTCCCAGGAAGGCGGCCAGCCTCAGGGTAGCCCCCATGTCCTAGCTTGGAGCCCAAACTGAACCCTGCTGGAAAATTCCATCCTGGAGAGGCTGGAGGATGAGGGAACAGGGTGTAGGAGATGGGGAGGAGGGATGAGAACTCTTTCCTCACTTGCTTCTTCCATCCTCCCTGCAGGTCTGGGTCGCTTCTTTCCCAAGGGATCCCCCACCCCCACCCCGCTAGCCAGCCCCCTGCAACTCGGCACTTCCGGCTCCCACGATCCTGGAGAATCTCAAGGCAGGATCTGGAGATGATGGGAACCGGTCACAGGAAGACAGGGACCACCAGAAGCTGCTCTTGTTCCCACATTCCCAACTTCCCTGGGCAGAACTTCTCCCCCAGGAACCCCCAATCTTTTTTTCCTTCCAAGATATCTGGACAAGAAGTAGCCCCCCCCCCTTGAGTCCCACAGAGGAGTAGGAGAAGGGGTAAGGGAATGTGGGCCCCATCACAGGGCATCAGAGTCCCCACATGTCAGACCTGGAAGCAGGCAGCTTGGGGAGACAAGCCACTTCCTTTCACACGTAGGGAGACGGTCGAACGTCAGAAGTGACAAGAAAACAACAGAAAGGAAGTTCAAGCAGGTGAAATGGGTGCCGGTTCAAGAGGTGTGAGCTCCCAGCTTTAAAATAAAAAGTCATGGGGTTGTGACACAGCACAGGGACTAGCGTCTCTCTGTCTCTCTCCTCTCTCTCTCTCTCTCTCTCTCACACACACACACACACTATGTGCACATATATAGCATCGCCCAGCAGGGATGTTGTACACAATGTGAATATGCTTAATGACTGTCAACCGGACAATCAAAAATGGTTAAAATGGTCAATGGGGGCCTCCCTGGTGGTGCAACAGGTTAAAGCACAGCACTAAGAAGCTAAGGCCACTGCAGCATGAGTTCGATCCCCACCCCGGAGGTGACCCACATGGCGCAGCAAACCTCTCCTGACCCGCCCGCTGCTCCCCTCAGCAGTGCACTTTGTTGATCTGCCTATTGTGCTCCCCACTCTGTCTCTGGTGAAGCCTCTCACTGCCCTGCACCTCTGGCCTGTACCCCAGTTCTGTATGTATACATAAATAAATCTTTTTTTTTTTTAAAAAAGAAAAGGTCCATGGGCCAGGACAGGAGTGGGAAGAGCACAAGGGACTATGGTGATGGTGCAGGGAAGAACTGGGAATTTCATAGGGAAACCAGACATTGTACAAAAATGAAGGATGATGTAATGAATATAGTTAAAAAAAAAAAAAGATACATGGAGTGAAAGAAAGAAACAACAGAGAGACCCCAAAGTAAATAAAAGAAACAAAAGAAACTAAAGACAAAATAAAAAATGAGATAGATAATAAATTGGTGGAAGGAAGTCAAGGGGATCACAATCGAGATGAAAAAAAATGCACAAATGTTGAATGATGTAAAAAAAAAAATACATGTACAATAGAAAGAGTGAGCGAAGACGTTAGTTGTAAGAAATGACAATAACATCAGCAAACCTCTCGTGGGACTGGTTATGAAACAGTCAGCCCAGGTCCCTATGGGGTGTGGACAAGGCAGGTGTAAGTCTCTGCTGCAGAGATGTTTGCTGAATAGAGCACTACAGGCCCTCCCTGGGGGCGCAACGGGTTAAAGTTCTGCACTGCAAGTGAGGTTCAGACGCCTCAGTGGGAGTTGGATCCCCGCCCCGGAGGTGACCCACATGGTGCAGCAGACCTCTCCTGACACACCTGTGGTTTGCCTCACAGTTTGTCCATCTGCTCCCCACTCTGTCTCTGGTGAATCCCCTCACTGCCCCTGCTCCTCTGGCCAGTACCCCAGTTCTGTATGCACAAATAAATAAATCTTTTTTTAAAAAAATAGAGCACTACAAAAAAACAACAAACCAGACAGCACTACGTTTGCAAATCTCCACAAGAGAGCACGATCCCAGAAAACTCTCCAAAACTCGCTCATGAACAGATGACGTTACGAAATTTTACTTTATATTCAAGGAATGGATAAATCCAATCTCCTATTTGTGCTTTCAGAAAAGCGAAAAAGAAA